TGTGACATTAAAAGGATACTAAGCATGCTTTGTATGATGCAAATACCTGTTTTCCAGAGCCCGATCAAGATCAGCTTATGTTTTACTGCTAAAAATCACAGAGATCAAACACTATTCTATGATTCTACACTAACAGCTGTTATTTAGTGCTAAACTACAGAAGCCTCAAAGACTGATGACTTATTCTTAACCCCAGACATCCAGCTGACACTGGTTTACTGTGTATCACAGCTTACCACATCTGCACAGTAACATCTTTCAGGGAGCTGCAACGTCATCATAGGTGTTGGTGAACGGGTATCCCAGAACTGATGGAAACAGAGAAAGAAACAAAATTACGCTTGGAGTTGAGGATACACCATATAAACTACTTAGCAAGGAGAATGCAACTGCTACCAAGTAGTTTCATTCTTGTCTATAGTCAGAATACTGCAACTCTCTGTGAAGTGGGGCTATTTCATTAATGTGTTTTTTGTATTAGCGTTTAATAAAATATTGTCATTTCACATAAGTATTTTCATACACGGATTGCCAGCATGCTTTGTGTCCATTTGTTCAGGTAAAAATCATACCTTCAAAGTTTTATCCCAGCTTCCTGTCATCACACAGCTGTAATTTGGTGCTTTAATCCAATGGATAGTCTTCACAGGAGCATCATGCTGAAGAAATAAAAGAGAAACACACATACATTTACTAAGATAACAGTCCACATTTCTTGTTTTTTCTTCTCATGTTTTTGTATGCATTTACAATTTTTATCCATTCAAGAAAACACAGCAGTTAGGATGAAGGTTGGTCATGACATTATTGTGTTGTTTAGTGCTGTAAAATCACCCACATAAGACAAAAATGGTTCCTAACACAAAGAACTACAATCAAGTCGCTATAGGACGATGATCACAGCAGAAATACCAACTACAAACAGCAGAATTCTCTATTTATTTATAAAGGATATTATCCATCATGCTAAAAATCAACACTTTTATATAATACACTATTTATTGCAAACTAATATAAACCCAGCTTCTTCTGACAAGAGCTACAGAAGAAAGGCCTATGTTAATTATATCAACAAGTTTTTAAGATCAAGGCTGAGAATCTGAATTTTATCACCTCAAATAAGATACAAGAAGCAATCATTAAAAGGACTAATTCACTTAAATTGTAACTGGTAACTCATTTTAGTTACCATAACTACATATTCTATGAACAGATATTCACTTCCAAATTGAGAATGTAAATTATAATGCCTGTTACTGCTGCAGCAGAAAGCTGATATTTGTGAGAATTAATTCAATGATTTCTTAAATTTTCCCCCCCTATAACACAGCCAGGTGACTTAGTGAGACCACAGAAACAATGGAAAGAGCTCTCTCAAGTAAAATAGAGGAACAGCTGCACAAGTTATTCAAAGCTTGGGGGCTCCTTACTTACTTGTGCAATCTGAATAGCTTGATTACTGTTGAGATCCCACATCTTGGCAGTTTTATCACAGGATGCAGTAAATACTTTACTCCCGTCCTAAAAAAATGAAAAAGGCCAAGAGATTAAATAGCTCTATCACACAGTATCTATTAGAAAACTGTCAAGTCTTATTCTCTTCTAGTAATATCATAACACTAATGTAACATATACAGAAACATAAAACATAAAAATGTAAATTTATTTACGACTATTATGTCATAAAAGAGAAGACTTGCTATTACCTAGCTTTAAATACATTTTTACTTTTAAAACTCACTTTCACCCTTCTTATGCTCATGTTAGTCTATGCTATTAGGATATGCTTAGCACATATTTACAGTAACGTAAGTCTATACAATAACCATGGGCTGCATCTACACATGGTACTCGTGTCTGTCTGCAAACCACATGCCAATTTATTTAAGGTTTTGGTCAAAACTGTATTTATTTTTAAACAGAAACATACATCACTCCAGCAGGCATCTAGTACAGGTCCTGTGTGCATCTGCTGAGCCTTTGGGATTGTCTGTCCATTATCTTGAACTTCCCAGCAGCGAACCTGTAACAGGGAAAGTGTACAAAGTTATAACGCATTAACACTAAGAACTCAAAAGACTTCTCTTCCTGAAGATCCCAGACTTATTTTATCCAACAAAAAGTACGAGGAGAAGGACTTGGGGGTGTTGGCTCAACAAGAGCTGGCACTGTGCACTCGCAGTCCAGAAGCTGCAGTTGCCCCATCCCTGGAGGGGTTCAAGGCCACATTGGAGGGGGCTTTGAGCAACCTGGTCTGGTGGGAGGTGTCCCTGCCCATGGCAGGGGGTTGGAACTGATGGTCTTTAAGGTCCCTTGCAACCCGAACCATTCTATGATTATAAACCACAAAGCTTTTTCTCAGAACTGGTGAAATCTTATTTTCTCTGATTAGTGTCCTTTTATCTGTACAGCCACAACTCAACCCACAACTTCAACCTCACCTCAAAAGTACCTTACTATCACATAACACCTCCCAGTGCTCTCCTGGAGAACCCTTACCCTGCCTGCTGCAGGCTACCAGCCAACAGACCAAACAGACCAGTTAAAAACGGCGCTCACGTTTGTCTTCCCCTCCCTGCTTGTGTCAGTTGGGATCTCACCCTTCAATCCAAACAAACTTTAATGAGGTGTAAGAACCTAATCTTTTTCAGACTACACTGTGAAACTGGGTAATTTACCACTGGGCTCATGGTTTTGTCACCGGGCAAAGCATAACTATGTTAGCCTAACTGTATAATAAAATGAAGCTAAAAACCAAGTCAGTAGGAAGAATAAAAATCAAAGCAGTAAAAATCTAAGAGGGAAAGCACTGAGTACATACTCTGAGCTGAACCTTAAAACACACAGGCAGAGGAATGACTAATCTGAAGACCACAACTGAATTTCTCAGTTGAAGCAGCTCAACTGTGTCACACTTTAGTGCTTTGGCACCAGACACAAATCTTGCAGTTCTGCAAAGAGGAAGATTTCCAGGTGCCCAGCACAAGTTTTTAGGACTACATATTGCCGTTTAGGCACGGATGCTCCCACTTAGTCACCTGCAGGCCTGCCTGGGGGTACTCACATCATTTGCCCATGATCCTGCGATGAGGAAATTGCCCGGCAATGTCGGTGGACTAAATGCTAAACAAGATATGCTGTCATCAGGTGGAGATGTTACTTCAATATCCTGTAAAGGGCAGGAGACAACACAAAATTAGCCACGTTTGAGAACTATGCGCTGAGATCCTGTAACTTTTACAGGGCCAGCCAGCAGGCACACATTAAAACACAGCACGGTGGTTCCCACTGGATTAACCCACGTACCTTCATCGGATTATGGTTGTCTGCAGTCGTGCTGCCAAACATGCTGGTACCTCCCGTACCAAACCCCGACGTGGATCCGAAGAGACTCATCTTTGCCCTGTGAAGGAGGAACAGACTTACTCAGACCCGCAATGCCCTCCAGCATCCCTGGGGTGCCTCACCACAGCCACTACACCAGCACACACACACCCCCTCACCCCGCCTGGGAGGGGCCCAGGGATATAAAAAACATACGGAATTTAAAAATTAAATCACACTTCTCGTTGCTGTTGGATCCCTGACACTCCCAATCGGCCTCCGCTGTCAGGGACTCCTCTCCGGTCGCCATCTGGCGAGCGCTAACCCCCCCCCCGCACCGGGCACAGCCCGCCCCGGCGGCGCTCCCCCTCCGGTACAGGCCCCAGCCTCACATCTCTGCCCGCAGCCCGCCCGGCGGGGCGGCGAGGACGCCCGGCAGACGAGAAGGCGTTATTTCGCGGGGTTCCCGCTTCCCTGCCGGCAGAACCGGCCGGCGCGAGGAGCGGCCGTTCGGGGGAGAGGCGGGGGTGGGAGCGGGGCCCAGGGCGCTCGCGGGCCGCGGCGCTGCCGCACTGCGCGGGGGGGAGTCCCGCCCGGGAGCGCGGAGGCGGTC